GCCCGCATAAACAGAGAATGTATAAATAATATGTTCTGATAAGTTTCACTTTGACTCTCATCGAAAATGGAAGGTTGGGCAAATACAGGCTAGAATTAATTTGTAGATCTAGTCTATCTATTTTTCGAAAAAGTTAAAATTTGTAATTAGAGTGTCTTTGTAATAATGATGAGATAAGCGCAGATAATCGTTAACTATTATGAAATTTATCTAATCCATTAAAGGTCTGGCCACGCAGGTATAAATTCGTTTGAGCGCTGCCTCATATACGAGTCTTATCAATTTATCATCATTTTGAAGACATGTATTTTAAACTTGTTTTGGCTTCCGTTGGTCTGATGTGTGTAGATGTTGCCTCAGGTATGTAACTACACGTTTATCATTTTAAGCACGAACGGTCTCTAAATTTGAAGCTTCACTTGAACTTTAAGATTGAATTTTGTCGCGGCGTCCAGGGTTCGCGGCCCGCCGCAACGTCCACCTGTCATGCATTGCTACAATTGGCTAGTGAAAAATGTGAAAATGAGCTCCGCTCGTCTGAAAGATGCATTTGTTGGTAGTGGACGCAGCGGGCGGGGTATTTTTCCCTTTCTTAATTTTTTGTATAGAGCCAGCCATGTTCAATTGCAGGGCAACTAGCTGTCAAGGATCCTAGCAGCATTGCAATAGTATTTTACATTATTAGCCAGGTAACTGAGTTTTTACTGGCGATAGGAGAAGTTGACTAGCGAGCCGTTAGGCGAGCTTGTCATCTCCTAGAGCCAGTAAAAACTATTACCTGGCGTATAATGTACAATATTTTATTTGTTACTCATTTGTAAACAATAGTAAACGTAAATAATTAGTTCTTAAATTAATCATGAAGAAATGTCTAAAATATCATGTGATCCATGTAACAGAGACTTCGTATTAATTCTGGCCAATGAAATTACTAGATTACTAACTTGTAAAATTTTTACAGGTCTGCTGTCAGTTTTACAAGTCTGCTGTCAGTTTTACAAGTCAGTAGCGTTTAAACATGACGTTTACCCGTTTGCGTTTTGTCTTGTTAATCAACGTTTACAACTGAGTAACAAATAAACTTTTTAATTGAACAGCTGGATTTATTCTGGAAATTATGTATAAGGGGGGAGTCTTACGATTTCTTGTTCAATCCACATCTAACACAAACCCTAAAAACGTACACCTTAGAGAGGGTTGTAAGTTACTTTTCTGATAATTAGGTAATTATAAACCGCATATCGACTAAAAACTTAATTGAGAATTTCACGTTCCTAACGCATTCATCATAATATTTACCCAGTAATAGGAAGTCATCTAAATAAACAACTGGCATGAAACCACATGATCTCAGATGTGCAACTATAGGTTTCATAATGAAAGCTTATTAAAAAATTAAACTTGCTACAAGTTTGGTTATATACATCTTTACGAAAAACTGGACCGTTTTCCTGCTACCGGCTCCGGAAAGGTGGTAATTTTTAAACAAAATTGTTTTTCACTCACGGTTTTCGTATGTTTCTAAATCCTCCCCCGTTCATTTTAGGGGAAAATCGTCACAATAAAACCTGTACAGCATTAACTTCAAAAGAATTCAATTTTATTGTATCCAAAAATGTTCACAATGATTAATCTGCTTGAAGGATCTCGTCGTCAATATCCTGGTCGATAGCTTCCTCAAGGATAGGCGGACGGTTTAGGCCAGTCACCTACACATCCACAAACACGAGAGCAGTGGATGCCTGCCTTCCTACAACCACACCTGTTGTTGCATCCCGTAGCACAGCGCCAGAATATTGAATTTAAAATGTGATTTGACGCAGGAGGTTCGGAGGACTTGACTGGGGTGAGGATTCCATCTTCATCCCTAACCCAACTCCATGCTTGTGGGTCGATGGTGGTATTACCCAGCCAAATTTGGGTTTGAAGGAAGACCCTATGAGCATGCTGGGCAGCTGTCGTTGGTGGCAGAGTAGCCAAATTGGTTTTTACTTTTGTTGACGATTTAACGAAGCATTTAAATCCTTTTGGTTGGGTGGGGCGTTGTAAAGGATGAGAAACATGGCTTCTCCTGCTTGGGTCACTTGATGATTGGTGGATGAAGGATTGTAAAATACCTCCGCTATTGCCTTTGTCTCATCAGGCAGTTTTTCAAAAGTTTTTGAGGCTTTTCTCTTCGCTTTTGTTCCACGTTTTATGGAATTAATGACCTCGTACCCATCGAATAGAACTGCACAATTGGAAGAATAGTGATTTATTATATATGAAGCATGCTGCTCACAGATGAAAGAGAAAGTGGTCCCAACATTCCACTTGACTCTGTGAAGGAGAAAGCCACCGTCCACTACAGTGTAAATTGTTTTGAGGTTCACTGCATCCATGCACAAAGGGACAGCCTCATAGAGAGCAGGTTTCTTCGTTTTCCTGAAGCATCCTTCGTGGAATAGTCATGGGGTATGGAGATAACTCGTATTTCAACAGGTCTGCAACATGCTCATCACTTCTCTTGCTTATTAAAGTTCTTTGAAAAATTTATGAAGGGAAGGGGTACTAAGCGTTCCCACTTCTAAAATAACAGGAGGGGATTTCATTCGTTCAATCTCATCTGATTTTGGTAAAGCTTCTGCTGGTGTGACACACTTAATGCCTCCCAAGCTATGAAATGCATGACGCCCGTCCAGAGTAGCAATATTAAAATCGGCATTCTCATAAACATATTGGCAAAAAGTATTTGCAGGTGTCGTATTTTGGTGTTGGTAAAGGGAGGATATTTCTAGTTGTTCAATGTTCAGCATAGTGGTAATTCGCACTGAATTCCAAGTTAGCCAGTAAATTTATCAAACTTTTGCATCCAAATTTTCGGTGAATTAAGTACGCAATGCTTGTCAGAATTGAAGATATAAAAGACCGCGGACGAACGGCAGAAATGATGGCATGGGAAAAATGGATACTGTTTTCCTCATGATATCATCTGAACCCCTTCTTTTCTTTGGGATAAGAGACTCCATTAAAAGCTAAGAGTGTAGGTAGCACCATCCCCGCAGATTCTCTGAGTAACTCATCGCTTGGAGGATATTTGCTTATGTCATATGCCTCACATTGGATCTCTTTTCGTATAATTGCAGCAGCCGTTCGTACCTCCCTTAATTTTTTTTCTTTTTCGTTCTCCAGTCGACTTGCATACCAAGCAGAATTCATATATACTCTCACCCAGGTTTCGAAAACATACAACCGTTTTATGGAAACGTATCTTACTAAAAATGATTGTATCCCCATACTTTTTCTCTTAGCTTTCACCCACGTCAACTCTGGCATTTCACCACTTACTTGATCCCTTAACTCATCCATGGAATACTGAACTTTGTCTTTCTTGTCCAAATAATAAAATATTTCCTCCATAGCAGCAGATACATAGTCTACCTGAGGTCTCCCTCTCTTCTGTCACCTTACACCAATCATCATGAATTGAGGGGATCCATGTTTTCTTGAACTCAAAATGGGGTGGACATCGAACAAATTAGCGAGAATTAATAACTCCAAATCTTCCCCATGCGTCTAAATTTATTAGATTAAATTGTGGAATAAATAGTTGCAACTAGTTTCGACGTTACCGTCATCTTCTGTATGTATATAACCAAACTTGTAGCAAATTTAATAAGCTTTCATTTTGTACTGAAGAACTTTTTCACTGTAACGCACCATTTTCGAGAAAAACTGAAAAATGGGTTGTTTAAAGCCCCCCCCCCGTTCCCCCAGCGGTACTGGAATTTGGAAGGACTTCATTGTTTCTTGTTCAGGGAACCTCTCCCTACACATATCTGAAAAAATTGGAAGTAGTATTTTGAGTTCCTCTGATTTCCATTTTTGGTCTAAATTGACTGGGCGGTTTTATTAAACCGATAGCATTAGCAGCTGCTGGGCTAGGTAAAAGGAAAAAAACAATCACCCGGTATCGGTTAAGTGTGAGGTGTGCGGCGAACATGAGACCCGGGGAGATCTTGAAACTGACTCGTGTGTGCCGGAACGCGAGTCGCATATCGAAATTCTTCGGGAGCGTGACTTGGAGCTAGCAGAAGGTGAACGCGATCGACTAACTCTCCGAAGACGGGCTAACTCCTTTTGCAACCGTGTCAATTTCTTTTCCAAAAACGCCGGACTTCTATCCCGGCGGCGCGGCGGTGTTTTCCCATAGCAAAAAACAACACTTCACAAACAACAAGGAACGCGGAAACGAAATGCAACACTCGAGCACTAAAATAGTAATGGCTGACTAAAAGCGTAACTCTGAGGTTCGCCGCTAAAAATTTTTTTTCTTTCAATTTGTGCTGCACTCGGGCGTGAATTAGAGGTACTACCAATATGATCATGTAGTAAAAAGCGGGAAATATCATTCATCTATTTCATCTACAAGGTAACACTCGTGTAGCGTTTATTTTGTATTTCTCGACCCATTTATTGGTAGTTTCAGATCAATCTGTCCAGGGGTAGTTTGGATCAATACTTTAGAATCTATTAAAGCATATTTGAAGGCGTTAAGAAGGTGTATTTCTTCTATAGTCGTTGAACTTACATTCCAAAATGTAGTTCTTACGTGTTCCTTAATCACCGAAGGAGGACGTTTTCCCATGGACACTTCTTGCAGAGCCCATAAGAATTAGTTAATTACATCCTGGTTACATCTGAAACCATAAAGGCTAGTCCGACTAGAGTATGTTTTACAAGCTTCTATCGTAGCATGTTTATGAGCAATTAGTGGATTTAGTCAGTTTTCATCATATTTGTTACATAACGAAGGCGATTGACACAAAACACCAATAAATCACTTGAGATATGATATGGGCCGATTAATACTTTCGAGTTCGCAATTAAAGTATTTAAAATGGAGATAGCTTTATCCTTGGAGATAAGAGAAATAGTAAACAAGTTTATCAATGCTGTCAATCATAATTTATGCAAATTCTTTATTTTTTGCGGGCAATGCTCGCAAATCCGTTTATTTAAAATGAATCGTCTTCTGTTCTAAAGGTATTGACATATAGGTATAATTCCGTATTGAAATTAATGTACTTTTCATTGCTTCGAAGATGATCACATGGGGGAAGATTTTCCCCGATGAAATTGTAAAATAAAATCTAATATGAGACATCGACAACTCTCTGTGTTATTACGCAAAAAAAGTGATTTTCTCATCCACTTTGTTGAAGAAACGTAGCCTTTTTTTTTAAATTCGTGGAAATTATTTTTAATTTGATTTCCTTATACGTATCAAATTGTAGGTTTTTTCTCATACAACTGCTATAGTTGCCATGGTATGTATGACAACTCCCCTCAAGAAGTTGACAACTGTCGAAAGTTTGTTAATATTAGCGCAACTAGCAGTTGTACACGACCTGGATATTGCATATTTTATTATGGAGGTAAGTTATATGTTAACTAATACACAAATATCATCCATCTCGTTTTAGAGGTTACGATCAACCATAAGCCCGTTGTCAAAACGGGAAGAATGTGTGCTACAGAACAATGTGCTGCCATGAAAGGATGGACCGCAAAAAGCATACACTGTTCGGATTGCAAAGGCGACTATTGCAATACTGACAAATATGATAAATAAGATTACTGATTACGTTATTGTTTTTTCTTTAACTGATCGTCTAAACTACAAAATGTAATAATTATGTTGTAATATACGTACCATTGGAATCCATTTTTGAGACACCTTTTTTCTCAATCATCAAGTCGCAGGAAGTCTGTGGTCACTAAAATAGAGGGAGGTGTTTATATTCAGGCGCACTTTACAACTCTGTAGTTTGCAGTAGGTATTTGTGACGTTAGAGTACGCAGAAATTTAACTTTGGACGTGTTTTGGCGGTTTGCGTTGTTGAAAATAAACTCTAAATATAATAATAAACGAAAATGATGAATGAGTATAAACTGATCGAATTAATTCAAGATGGGACACAAATTCAGTGCAGTTCAGAAATAAAATTATTAAATTAAATACGTGGAATGAAATTTCAAAACAACTAGGGGCAACTGGTAAGCTCATACTTATTAATTTTCTTAATAGCAAGTTTTCTTTTAGGTGATGACTGCCAGAATACTTGGAAGAGGTTACGAGATAGATACACTCGCAATAAAAGATTGGCACCCTCCGGTGCAGAAGGTGCTAGGAAAAAGTGGGACAAAGAGGATTTATTGCGATTTCTGGACAAGATTTTAGTGACACGAAGGTAACATACGTAATTATTTTGACAGTCTAAAAAATTGAATTCCAATTTTAGAACTACAAGTTGCGCAGCTGAATACAGTGAAAGTAATGGAAATACTGAATCGCTACCAGAAACGGAACAGATTTTCGCACAGGAAAGTGTAGAATTGAATGAAGTTGAAATTTTCGATTCTGCAAATGCAGAGGATACTGGTGACAATCATACACAGTCACTACCCATTAACGTGGAAATAATCCCAGCAGAAGTTGTAGATTTGAAGCCTACATCCACCTGTCACTTTTCATCTTCGTGGTCAATTACACTATTTATGTAGTCATCTCTAACTCTGATGCACCTTAGAAAATGATGTAAAGCAACTGTTGCCTTAACTATACTGTCCACAGTGGTTGGTTGTACAAAATCGGTTTTCTTAGAATTCTCCACCTGGACGCCAAAATTCCAAATGCCACTATTCGGCGGCCCCTACTTAATCGATAGTTGAAAATTCGCGATTCTTTTGACATTTCATTTTTCGGATAGGGTCTTATAATATTTCTTCACAAGGGAAACGCTTCATCAGCAACAAAATGGCAAGGAAAATTTTCATTTGTGCGAGGTAAAATGTAGTTTTTTGGAACATTTAGGGTTTCGTTCCATCTTGCAGCACCAAAATTAGGATTTCTGAACACTCCATTATCTCCACAAATGCCTGTAATAATCCACATTATGTAAAAGGAATTATAATGTTATGATGTGATACAAGGGTAATGGCGGTAAGAGCACGCAATTTAAAAAATCATTTAATTACAACAAGACTTGCTAACATAAATCAACTTAAAATTATTTTCATAAGTCTAAAGTTCATATGCAACTATCCTTTAGGGCCAACAACGGAAGTAACTAAATACAAATGAGAAAAAAAATAATTTTCAAACTTGTGTAAATGCGTACTCTTAACAGCGTTAACGTTAAATAGTACGCATATAATCTTCTAAGAGTGCGCACATAGTTTATTCACTACAGTCGTCACAGTAATGACATATGTTAGAGATGGCTTTGTATGAAAATAAAATAGTTCGTAGTTGGTATGGTTACAAATAATAACAAGATTGTATAAATAAAATATGTTGCGTTTTGATTTCTTGTAAGAAGAAGCTACTTATACCAGCGTGTTGGTACACCAAATTAGCGGCCCCGTTCCTAAAAGTGTTAGTTTTAACAAGTGGCGACCGTGACAGGACAAGTGGGTAAATTTAGGTTGTGTACAACAAAAAGTAAAAGAGATTGTCAAACCTGTATCGTTGAAGATGACTGAACCACTCAAAAAACGGCGTACTGTAGCCCGCGGTGCTTTTACTCGAGCTTTTAATACATTTATGGAGACGGTTTGTACGGAAACCGCTTTGGACGTTAAGCAAAGCGCGTTTCAATTATTAGAAATA